CATGTAGTCTTTTATGCTTTCAGCAATCCAGTGTGATAGGTTTCATCATACTCATTCTACTCATAGAGACTTCGAGGTTCAGAGAGACTAAGTAATTGGATGGGTAGAACTGGTTACAGTTGGCTCTCAAAAAAGGCAGGTATTTCATTTCAACTTGAATATGCCAGAGTTCTCCTTCCCCCTCCCCACTGGCCCTAACTCTGTGTTAAGCAGGCATCTGGATCCCTAATTCATGACAATTCTGCCTCTTCAAGGAACCACCACAGAGCTCAGATCTGAACCTCAGGACATTGTTTTTCAATCAGTTCACCAATGGGTAAAAAGATTGGGTAAGATAGGTCATCCTAACTAAACTAACGTGCACAAAGTGATAAACCCAAATACTAATTTCTTTTTTTAGGGGAAAGAGATTTATTTGTTTTGTTTAGTAGTACTAGGGGTTGAACTCCAGGCCTTACTAGGCAGGCATTCTTCCACTTGAGCCACTCTCCACCCCAGGTAGAGTTTTAAGCTTGCTCTACCATTGGCCTACATCCCCAGTCCTAATTTCTTAATTTATACTGGGAAATTAAACTGCTAGTAGGGCTAGAATGTTAGAAGTCTTTACAAATGTGTTGGAAGAGTAGCCTGGATTTGAATAAGGTTATAAAGAATCCCAAACAGTATACTTAGGAATACTTTCTCCCCTGGCCAAAATTGATCCTACTCTGACATATTGTCATCACTTTGTTCTTTTTCTAGATCCTATCTCTTTAGTTATGACATTATATTGGATGGTCACAATGAACTTTACTAGATGATAGTTAATTATAGTTTTCATCCGTAAGGAAAATTTAGAAAACAACACAAGTACATACCCAGCACATTTTCTAATTGTCTCCAGGAGAAATGTTTTTTTTTTTCAGTACTGGGGCTTGAACTCAGGGCCATAATCTTGAGTACTCCACCAGCCCTATTTTTTGTAAAGGGTTTTTCAAGATAGGGTCTCATGAACTATTTGCCCGGGCTGGCTTCGAACCTCGAGACTCCTGATCTCTGCCTCCTGAGTAGCTAGGATTATAGGCATGAGCCACCAGCACCCGCCTCCAAGGGAGATTTTGAAAAGCTTTTCATTATGATGACTCTTACCCATACATAAAGCTAGGAGGGAATCCCTTGTATTCATAACCCAGCTCCCACAGTTACCAACATTCTGAAGGCTTTTAGTCTATTCTGCCCTCCACCCCAACACACATACAATTTTCTCTCATAGTATTTTAAACCTAATCTCTAAATCTTTAAATTCAGGTGTCTCCTGTTTGGAATATACTCAATGTATGGAGTATAAATGGTCTAATCTTAAAGCCAGCACACCAAATTCTCTGAGGTTAAGATGAGATACTGGAGCCAGGTACCTGGTGGCTCACACCTGTAATCCTAACTACTCAAGAGGCAGAGATCTGGAGGATTTTGGTTTGAGGCCAGGCCAGGCAAATAGCTCACATTCCCAACACAAAAAATGGTGGAGTGGCTCAATTGATAGAGAGCCTGCCTAGCAAGTGTGAGGCCCTGAGTTCAAGCCCCAGTCCCACCAAAAAACCCCAAAAAAGTTGAGATCCTGTATGCAAATGGGCTGTAGTTTCAAAAATTGGACTCTGAATTAAATTCTCCAGGGGGAGATTTTCCAGACAAAATCCATGAATCCTTTCCCAGGCCTACTGACTCAAATGTCTGGGGATGGGGGCAAGTCATATGTGCATTTCAAAGACGCCCAAGAAATTTGATGGTAGAGCACCCTCTCTTGGGACGCCTCCCAATTCTGGAGGCTCTACTCTCCCACTTTACACTTTTCTATCTCAATAAACTCTCCTACTTTATACTTCAAAAACAAAAAAAAATTTGTAGGTTTTTGTTTGTCCTTTTTTTTTTTTTAATGGTACTGGGGTTTGAACTCAGGAGGCGAGCACTCCAGCATTTTGAGCCACACCTGTGCCCTTTTTGCTCTGCTTCATGTTGAAGATAGGTTCTTGCTTTTGCCCAGGTTGGCCTGGACCGAAATCCTCCTATTTTATACTTCTTGCCACAGCTGGGATGATAGGCACGTGACATCATGCCTAATTTTTTCCCACTGATATGTGGTCTTGGAAACTCTTTTGCCTGGGCTGGCCCAGAACTGAGACCTTCATAATATCAGCCTCCTTTGAAGTTTGGGATGATAAGTGCACCCCACTGCACCCAGATATTGGTTGAAATGGGGTCTCACTAGCTCTTGCACACACACCCCTCGCCCCCCACCCCAGCCTTGAACCACCATCCTTCTGATCTCCGTCTCCCAAGTAGCTAGAATTATAGACATGAACCATTGGTGCTTAGCTTGACTATGGCTTCTTGGGAGACCAGGATTGAGAAGTTGCCACTGGAGAGTTGTTGGCTAGATAGTATTAGAGCTAATTTTCTTTCTTTTTTTTTGCAGTACTGGGGCTTGAACTCAGGGCCTACACCTCAAGGCACTCCACCAGCCCTTTTTGGTAATTTTTTTTTTCAAGGTAGGGTCTTACAAACTATTGCCCAGGCTAGCTTTGAACTTTGATCCTCCTGGTCTCTGCCTCCAGAGAAGCTAGGATTACAGGCATGAGCCACTGGGCGCCCAGCTTAGGGCTAATGTTCTATGCTCTAGGGTCTTCTCAGAGCACTGGAGGTACAGGGGGTGGGGTCCTGGTCAGCGACAACATAGGGCTAAAGAGGGACCTGACCCTAAGGCCCCCGAAGACTCCTGAGAAAGGAGGGAAAGTCGTACCTGTCTTGAGAAGGGCTGATGTTAGGCCCTGAACAAAATTAGTGCATTTACTTTCCACACTCTTTTGTTTATTCTCACTTTATTCATCATAAGGAATTTTATAATAACAGAGCTGCTGATGGTAATCTATCAGAAATCCAGCTGATAAGCACACAACATGTTTGAAGGCCTGTGAGCTGTATAGTGGACTTAAAAATAGGGGTGTAAGGGTATAGTTCAGTGGTCGACTCCTTGCCAAGTATGCATGAAACCTTGAGTATGATCCCTAGCACTGAAAAAAAAAAAGGTAAAATGGTAAATTTTATTTTTTAAGCACATTTTTTAAAAATCCAGTTGATAGACCAGGTGCTGGTGGCTCACACCTATAATTCTAGCTACTCAGGAGGCAGAGATCAGGAGGATCAAGGTTCGAAGCCAGTCCCTGCAAAAAGTTTACAAGACCCTATCTCAAAAAAACCCATCACAAAAAAAGTCTGGTGGAGTGGCTCAAGGTGTAGGCCCCGAGTTCAAACCCCAGTACCACAAAAATAACAACAGGAAAAAAAAACAATTAGAACCCTTACTATGTCCTGATGATGGGTTAGCAGGTGGGGAAGTGGGTGTGGCCTATAGGAAATGAGTAAGACCTGCTTTCTGTGGTCCAGGAGCTCCAGCCTTACTGGGAATCTGCAAACTGAGCAACATAGTTCTAGTAACACACATAAACATGTGTAGAGCCTGAAGGGCTGTGAAGGGACTTGAATGCTACACTAAGGAGATTGGATTGGAAGTAATGGATGGTTTTGAAATCAAGGTATGACATGAATAGATGGACTGCAATTCCTAATGTCTTATCACCATACATCACTTTGTGTGGAGTGCATAAAAGATCGACTTTTACAACTTTAAAAAGTCAGTCCCCTCTAAAACGGACTCATATCCTGTTACTCTCTTTAAATATACTTAGGCTCAGGAAAGAGTTAACTTTGGTTAAGTATCTTGGAAAGACATAAACACAGATGTGGCAAGTGCTCTGTAGGAGATGTATGTGGAAACAGGAGTACATGCCCTGGCCTAAGGGAGTCCTTTAAAGCCTCCAGGAGGAAGTGGGTAAGAGGAAGTCAGCTACTGAAAAGAGGAGGGAAGTGAGGAAGCAAGTGAAGAAGCTGGAACATTTAGGCAGAGGAAGAAAGCTATGGGCAATAAGGCCAGGGAGGGTTAGGGCCAGATGGCAGAGAGCTTTGTGTGCCAAACTAAGGGACTTACAATCTCCTTCCCAAAGGTGATGACAAGCCATTAGGGCCCATTAATAACAACAATGATGAAATAATTCTTACTACATGCCAAGGACTATTCTAAGAGGTTTACCATTTTGACTCATTTAACCTGACACTAACCACATTGCTGATCATATGGAGGATGGTGGCCCAGAAGACCCACATGGGCATAGGTTGTGGCTTGGAAGAAGGAGGTAGAAGGGAAAGGGAAGGATGGAAAGGAAACAATGGTGTTAAGAACGTATTGTGTGCTTTCAATTCTTTCACATTTTATTTGCAGTTGAAGAGTTCTCTTGTTGGTTGGAGTTTCTATAAACGTTATCTGATTAAGTTGGTAACTAGTGCAGTTCAAGGCTTTTACGTTTTATTTTATTTTATTTATTTATTTTGGTGGAATTGGGGTTTGAACTCAGGGACTCATGATTGCTAGGCAGACTATCATTTGAGCCACTCTGCCAGTCTTTTTTTTGTGTTGAATATTTTCAAGATAGGGTCTCCTGAACTATTTTCCCGGGGCCTGGATTCAAACCGCGATTCTTCTGATCTCTGCCTCCTGAGTAGGACAAGGATTTTATAAATCTGATCATTTTCCAGCTACTTTAATCGTGGATTTGTCTGTTTCTCATTTCTTTTCTATGGCCTCTTGACTGATAGCTCCGCGCAGTCAGGAAGGCACTAAGGTAGAGACGAATGAACATTTACTTTGGATGGTTGAAAAAAAATGGCATCTCTCTTTAAATTTACTATAGAATGCAGAAGCAAACGGAAACCAATACTACCCTAGCAGGCCTACAGAAGCACAGGACAAATGAAAATAAGGGAGTCTGGACATTCGATCACGCCTCTTTCCTGTATTGGCAAGGCAACTGACACGCAAGTTAGCCAATCAATGAGAGACTCACCTGCGGGGGCGGGGATTTGACGAGAGCCAATAGGACGCGAGGCGGATGGTTTTACCGGCCAATGGACTGGACAATAGGGCGGGTTTTCGATGAAGGGCCGGTAGTGGTAAAGATGGCAGCGAGTCTGAGATCCTCTTGGTGGCAGCGGTGGCGGCGATGTTTGTCACTTCAGGATGGGTCCAGGATATTCCTCCTTCTCCTTTTGTTGGGGTCTGGGCAGGGGCCATGGCAAGTCGGGGCGGGTCAGACGTTCGAGTACTTGAAGCGGGAACACTCGCTGTCGAAGCCCTATCAGGGTGAGGCGCCTGGGGCGAGACGGTCATGCAGGGGTCATGCGGGGTCTGAGCTCAGCTGAAGAGGTGGGGGCGGCGAAGGGCTTCGGGGCTCGGGAGAAACTACCGGCGTTGGGTGCGGACCCACGGGGACCACAGCCGTTTTTGAGGTCCCATGGGCAGGGATCCGTTCTCCTTCCCTTTCCTAGCACTGGAAGTTTCCAGTAGGTCTAGGCAGGGCTTTCAGATGTCACCACGGAGAAAGGGAGGAAGGACGAGAGGAGTGACAGGGAACGAGAACTGAGAATACTGAGGAGTGATTGAGGGCCACCAGCCATGAGCCAGTGTCGGGATGGAGCTGTGCTGGAAATAATGCAGGATGAATAAGTGGGGTTGAACTTGGCCAGAGTGAGAAAGGAGATATAATTAAAATTCGGCTGCCGCTTAGAGCAGCTGTTGTTTTCCAGGCTAGGAGCCCTAAAAGTGAAAGAGACTGCCTTGCTTTGCTCTAAGTACAGCTTATCGACCAAAAAATTGACACAATTAACTATAAAGAGGACAGATTGGTGCAGCTAGCTTCATACAAGTCTTGTTTCCCCACTGAGGTGCGTATAAGGGAACAGGAAACAAAAACCTCAAAGTGCAGAAGAGTATGCTCTGCTGCTAAGGTAGCATTCACTTAGCAGGTGCATTGAGTATCTCCTCTGTGCTGGCCTCTGTTACCTCTCTGGGTCAAACAGAGGCAAGTTTTCACTCATTTGAGCAGATGGAAGTAGCTTTACAGTTGAAGGATTGCTTTCAAACAGAACATGATTAAGCACACAGGCCTGAGGATCAAGCTGTTTTGGTATAACAGGAAATTCTTTCGTGGTGCTGAAGTTCCCTTACATATAAAATGGGGAGAATATTTGTGAGCTCTGGTTACTGTGGCATGCATAAAATGATAGCTCTCTTGTACTTTGGGGACTTCACTTGTTAAGGGCCTTTTGAAAGGAAGCTGTAAGAATGGTGATGATTCAATATTTCCAAGGCCTGGCAGGGTGGTGTGTGCCTGCTCAGATGGCTTGAGGTAAAGGATTGTTTAAGCTCAGAAGTTTGAGACCCACCTAGGCAACATAGTGAGATCCAGTCTCAAAAATGAGAAAAAGATTGACCAGTCATGGTGGTTCATACCTGTAATCCCAGCTACGTGGAGGCAGAGATCAGGAGGATTGTAGTCCAAGGCCAGCCTGTGGAAATTAGCAAGACGCCCTTCCCCTCGGAACTCAAAACAAGCTGGGTGCAGTGTTGGGTAGGGGAGGATGGGGCTGTCTATAATCCAAGCTTCAGAGAGACATAGGTAGGAAGATCACTGGACCAGGCTGGCCTGGGCAAAACTGTAGGCCCTATCTGAAAAATAACTAAAGCAAAAAGGAGCTGGAGTCATGGCTCCTGCCTAGGAAGGGTAAAGCCCTGAGTTCAAACTCCAGTTTTGAAAAAAAAAACATTTGTGAGTGACAGAAGGTAGGACATTGAATAACATGAAAGGTTAAAAAAAATAATAATAATGGCTGCAGCTTTTGGAGGCTCTGTGGTGGTTTTTTGAATAAGTTGGTATTGAGAAGTGTGGACTGATGTATTTCCTCCCCATAGGTGTGGGCACAGGCAGTTCCTCATTGTGGAATCTGATGGGCAATGCCATGGTGATGACCCAGTACATCCGCCTTACTCCAGATATGCAAAGTAAACAGGGTGCCTTGTGGAACCGGGTGGTAAGAATCTTTCTCCTCCCTGTGCTGGTGACCTAGAATGTCCTACAAAGTTCAGCAGAGGCATATTGATTTTACTTTATTTTACTGTCTATTCCCAGTATTCTATCTTCTGTAGATATCAAGGGTCTTTATTTCAGAGATTATGGTGACCTTCATAATAAAGAAATCAGATATTTAAGGAAATGATTTTTGTTGCCCTAATTATAGCAAATAATTCATTTCGAATCTATTTTCAGAAATGTCCTTAATTCCTGATTGACCTAATAGTACTATTTCTTGGGTTTAATAATTTAACTCCTATTCAATTACTTTGCTTTGAAAAATAGAAGACTACTCTTCTAAATTTAGAGCTGGGCATAGCAAAGTGCACCTGTAGTCCCAGCTACTTGGGAAGCTAAGCTAAGAGGACCCCTGGAGTCCAGAAGTTCAAGGCCAGCCTGGGCAATGTAATGAGGTCATGTCTCAAAAAATAAAATAAAATGTATCCCAAACTTCATCCCTAGTAACCCTCCCTTATTTTCTCAGTTTAAAGAGTTTAGTTTAAATTTTTAATTTCATATGAAAATCACCCTGAGCCATTAGTCATTTTATTTGTCCTTCTCTGGACTTTTTCTAGCTACCTTGTCTTCCTTGAGGTATGGTGGCAAGAAGTGAATGCAGTATTCCTGGTGTGGCTGCACTGTGATTTTGTACAAGTGTAAGATGATGCTTTCTTTTTGGTTTTCAGGCTCTTTTTAAATCTTCTTTGACTGTTACTTTTGAGAATGACTTTGGCATCTTTTGATGTTTTCTCTTTAATATCTTTTACATGCTTCTTCTCATTAGTTGTAGATGAGTGAACCTCAGAAAAGAGGTTCATTTTCTGCAGTCTAGAATTCTAGAGAAGTAGAGGGATAAGAGAAGTTTCCTGGGAGCTATCTATATAAGCTGTCCCAGTAACCCAGTTGTAGTGCTGAGCTCATTTTTGGACAAGTGCAGAGCATGGTAGGAGATGTAGAGGGCAGTTAAAAGACATTCTAAATCCATCTCTGTCACACTGACCACAAGCCCTCTGCAGGTTATTTAGCCTCTCAGTTCAGTGTCTCCACCTGTCAAATGAGCTTCACCTAGGTTGTTGTGAGACTAAAATGAGACAAGTAGACATGAAAAGACTGCAAAGTTAAAATGCTTATAGAAACATGTGCTGTTCTTACACCTGCTATAAGTTTCATTGATTGGTTCTTATGGGTTATTAAATGATTATGTCCAAGGCTTGATACCTTGCTACTGTCTAGCTAGCTCTCTTTCTACCTAACTCTTTTATAGCAGCAATTCCAGTCTAGGATCTAGTTCTCCTCTTCTTTTTCAGATTCTCCGATCCCTGTATCTCCTGTTCTGTGGCCATCAGAATGAGCTGAGAAATTGTTTCTGAGATAAATTTGCTTGAGCAGCAGTTCTCAGATTTGGCTGTCTATTGGAGTTGATGCCTGAATCCCACCCCCAGAGATTCTTATTTAATTGGAATAGGGTATAGTTTGGATCCCTAGTGGATTCCAATGTGCAGCAAAGTTTCAGAACTACTGTTAGACATATCCTTGGGCAAAACCATATAGTATTGTACTATACAAGGCCAAGAATCAGTGGCAGACACCTCTTGACTCAGCATGAATTTCTCTGGCCCTGCATAGTACCTACCTACTGACTTTGAGATAGTTTTCTGTTGCTAAATTTCACTCTAGTCCTGAAATCTAAATGAAACCACAGAGATATACAAAATGACAAGACAGCAACTGGCTCATAAGAGTAGGGCTGGAGATTTCAGGGCTTCTTACTGAATGCAGAAGTATCTAATCTTCTTTCATTTTGACTTTGTGTTCCCAATAATACTGCTTTTGGAAAATATTCCAGAATTTCAAAATGAAGACAGAAAATCATCAAGAAATACGTTGCTCAAGAACCAGAACAATCTATTTGGAGAGTTGGCTGAACCCCGAGTGGCTGTCTACTCCTCTTCCCTTCTTTCTAAACAGTGGATTTTAACCAGGCACCTCCCTAAACCAAATGCCATACCCACTGTGGTTTCTCCTTGAAGCTTTTTCAACTATTTACAGCACTTGTCTCCTTCTTGGTTTTTACAAAGTTTTGATAAACAATTTAGGAGTTTCTTTTGTTTTGTTTTTCTGTGGTACTGGGATTTGAACTCAAGGCCTCATACTTGTTAGGCAGGCGCTCTTAACATTTGAGCCATTCCACCAGGCCTTGATAAACAATTTTAAAAAAGAAAAATTGGAGTCTGATTGATACCCACCTCCTTAATGTTTTCCCATCAGAAGCTGTCCCAGTGGTGGGCATGATATTCACCTCTGGCACTTTTATGCTTCTTAGCTGTGAGCATGAAGGTTTGGGGGACTGTAACTTGCTGTTCTCATGGGAACTCAGGCTTGCCCCTCAACTTGGCAGAGGGCCAGGTCTAGCTAATTAGAGTTGTTTATTGCATCTGCTAATTATTCCTGCAAACCTTTGCATAATGATTTACCTTTTCTTACTCTTTCCTAATGAAGGAGGATTTGACCTTTCTTTAAAAACCAGTTTTTTGGAGTCTTTCTGTCAGAGGAATGATCTTAAGTTGTAAATGAGTATTAATTCGACCATGTATACTCAATAGACTAAGATACTTTGTTGGGTGAATATACAATCATGGTAGCCAAATGCCTCTTCCAGTTTTGGAGTAGTATCCTGTTTCTGTTGGGAGATGTTGAAGATAATCATGTGGTTTATTCACTTTATATATTAAATATCTAAAACAGTTGAATGGCTCAATTTTTTTTTTTTTAGCATGAGCACTTAACAAGTCTTAGATTTCAGTTTTAACCCATAGTCTTGTTATCTGCATTTATGTTTTCCAAGTCTCTAGATTGCTGCTGTGGGCTTAAGAGGTTTTGCATTTCCTGCTCCTCATTGATTCCAGTGTCTTTCTCATTTTAGCCATGTTTCCTGAGAGACTGGGAGTTGCAGGTGCACTTCAAGATCCATGGACAAGGGAAAAAGAATCTGCATGGGGATGGCTTGGCAATTTGGTACACAAAGGACCGAATGCAGCCAGGTATTGGGGACCCTGGGTTGCTTTTGTGTTGGTGTGGCAACCTACTCTTCCTTGTGCCCTCTTTTTGAGAATGGTCCTTCCGTGCAGTTTTCCCTCTACCTTGATGTCTGTGAATGAATACTGGCCTGTCTAATCTCAAGAATGGGGTCTAAGTACTAATAAGCAGCTGAACTTGACTTATCGTGGGCAATTTCTTGCTTGCTAATTCCTTCCAAGTTTCCCTATGAAACCTGGCCTGTTGACTGGGTGAAAGCATTGGCTCTCCTGAACACTGATGACTGGTGAATTGATTTCCTCTGGGCACATATAGTAACTGTCTCAGCACTTGAGTCAAGGGAAGAGTTATCTATTTTCCTTGCTGGGCTGGAGCCATTGCTCCAAGTAGATGGCAGGATCAACCTGATTTGACCTGATCTCTTTTCTACAAGAAGTAGAACTTGGGAATTGAGTTCTCTCTTGGGGGCATAATCTTCACCAAGTGTTTGTGAAACAGAATTCTGTAGGGGCACCTTAGCAACCAGTTTGGAACAGGGAGCTGCTGTAGTGCTAAACAAGGTTGCAGTGGCCTTTTCTCTTTCCCTGCCTTCAACAAAAACAACTACAGATGTTTACTGGGTGCTTTTATGTGTATTTTCTCATCTTAAGAGAGGCCTGGGAGTCATTTGAATTTCACCTTTTCCTCCATCATAGTGAGATGTTATTCCTTTATCAACTCTTGGCTTTATTTCATTGTTCATCATCTGTTCTCTCTCTCTAGGGCCTGTGTTTGGAAACATGGACAAATTTGTGGGGCTGGGAGTATTTGTAGACACCTATCCCAATGAGGAGAAGCAGCAAGAGGTAATGGCAAGTGTCAGAGTTTAGGTCAGCTGCACTGACATCACAGTTCTTTTCCTCAGGAGTGGTGTGCAGGAGGGAGCAGAGGGGAGAGACAGTGAGTGGCTCTTCATCTGTTGACCTTCAAGATTTCATGTCCTTGTCAATATTTTTTCTAGAGAGACCTGTTTGTGATTGCACAGTCCTTTGGGAATAGCTGTCATGAATGAGTGCTTTTTTTGTAGTGTTAACAATGTTCTCTCATGCTCATTAGATAGCCACTGAAATTGAGCACACTTGACTGAATGGTGATTTGGCTGCTAGACCAGTACCAGAGCAAGCTGAATTTGTGTGACACAGCTCCCCTAACTTTTAATCCATCAATTGCTGTGCTCTCTTCTGCAACTTGCTCACCCTTTCCACCATCTTTTTCTTCTTCTTCTCAGACCTGAACAGCAGTTCTCATCTACAGGAAAGGGTATAAGTAAAAGGAGATTGATGAAATCCAGCATCTTTTTTTTTGAGATAGGATTTGTCTTTGACAAATTCACGATCCTTCTGCCTCAATCTCCTAAGTGCTGGGAGTATAGATGTGTGCCACCACTCCTGGCTTTTTTTTTTTTTTTTTTAGACAGGATGTTACTGTATAGCCCAGGTTAGCCTTGAACTCATAGCTCTCATGCCTCAGTCTCCAAGTGCTGAAATTACAGGAATGTGCCCCATACCTGTCTCAAATTCCAGCATCTTGATGGAACCCAGTATCTGGCTGTTGGCAGAGTTTCTTGCTTTTATTAGCCGACCTTATGAGCTATTTGCTGGGACTGGCCTCAAACCATGATCCTCCTGATCTCATCCTCCCAAGTAGTTAGGATTACAGGTGTAAGCCACTGGTGCCTGGCTTCTTTATTACTTTCTTATATAGGCAGCAGGTTTGTACTCTCACTGCCATCAAAATTACTGTGACAAGTTGTCATTGGGTATCCTGTAGCTAACTAATATTTAATAAGGAAGGCAGAACTGGGAATGGAGGCTATTTTTCCCAAAGGTTTATTATGAGTAATTTAAAACTTATGGAATGGTCATCATACATGCAACATCCAGATTCAACAGTTAACATTTTCCACAGTGCTCATCTTAGAGGAGGGGAAAGTGAGACCTGAGTTAGGAGAGTAACCTTTTGTTATGGGACAGTTAAAGTTGCTTTTCCATGTTCCTTCTGGGCTTCTTCATTCTATGTCCTCTTCATTCCATGTACATCAAATCCTTGTGAGGTACCAGCCCCTGAGAATTAGTGAGTAAGACTAATGTAACCTCTGCACTTTGTAGCATAGAGACTGGTGGAAACTCTGGGGTATAAAACCCTGGATTCAATCCCCAGCACTGCAAAAAAAGGCAATAATGAAAAAAAGCTCCCCCAAACCCTCAAAAACTAATAAAAAGCAGTTCCTAATTATTATGTGGCTACTATGTGTCTAGTACTTTGCAAATACTGTCTTAATCCTCATCACAGTTTTTTATAACCAGTATTATTTTTCCTATTTTACCTATGAGTAAACAGGCTTAGAGAAGTTAAGTGTCTTGTGCAGTGTAGCAGCCATTGTAAGGTGAAGCACAGAGGGAACCATCTGACTCCATCCATCTGTGCTTTCTTCTAAGCTGATTTCCTTCTTGAGAATGGAGACATTAGGTATTTTCATATGGTCTCCTATGCAATTTCAGTTCTTACAGATTATATTCAATCCAAAGAATGTAGAAAGTGTCCTCCTTTCTATATCCCAACAACCTGGAACTAGCTTAGAGGGTAAAATCAAATGTGTTTTGTCAATGGCGTGGTTTACTTTGATATCACATATAAAGGTGCCCTGCATTGTCCAATCACTTCTGCTTATATTATTTACTTACAATAATCCTTTGAGATAGATACTATGTCTACTTTATGGGTAAGAAACTGAAGCACATGAAGAAAGTTTGCAAAACTTGCTAGTGTCACACAGATAATGGATCTAACTCCAGAAACTCCAGTTCCTTTATTTTGCTTTATTATTGCAAGCACATAAGAAGAGGCTGATTGGGCTATTCAGCCTTTTGTTGCTGTGGAAAAAAAAAATACCTGAGAAAAACAACTTAGAAGAAAGATTTGTTTTGACTCACAGTTTCAGAGGTTTCATTCTGGGGTTGGCTAGTTCCATTGCTTTTAGGCCTGAGGCAAGGCAGAAAACAGGGTTGAAGGGCACGGCAGAGGAGAGGTGCTTCTTACTCCATGGCAGCCAGGGTATAGAGAAACAGAAGAGAACAGGAAGGAAGATACACCCTTTCAGGGCATGCCTCCAGTGACTTACTTCCTCCAACTAGGTCTTACCTTCTGGTTTCTACTACCTCCCAATAATATGCCATCAAATTATGAACCCATCAGTGGGTTAATTAATTGATGAGGTTTGAGTTCTCATGATCCAGTTACTTCCCAAAAGTCCATTAGCTGACACATGAACCTTTGGGGAACATTTCATATCCAAACCATAACAGTGACAAATTATTTTTTTTGTGTGGTAATAGGGATGGAACCCAGGATCTTGTGCATGCTAGGCAAACAACAGTAACAAATTCTTTACCTTTGGAAGACTTGCAAATGGCTATCATAGGTGTGCAGAAGATGTAAAGGGCACGGGGCAGGCAGAAGGGTGTGACAAATGACTGAATGCTTTCCTCCTAAGATTTCCTCCTAAAAGACTGAATGCTTTCCTCCTGGAAAAAGACAAGAATGTCCATTCTTTTTCTTTTTTTCTTTTGCATTACTAGGGTTTGAACTCAGGGCATTGTGGTTACTCTATCACTTTAGCCACACTACAAGCCCTCTTTGTTTTTAGGTTATTTTTCAGATAGGGTCTTGTTTTTTTTGCCTGGGTTAGTTTAAGACCACATTCCTCCTACCTATACCTCCCATGCAGCTGGGATTACAGATATGCATTACCACTTCCAGTTTGTTTGTTTTGATGGGGATCTCACTAACTTTTTGCCTAGGTTGACCTCAAACCTTGATCTTCCCAATTTCTGCCTCCTAAGTAGCTGGAATTACAGGTATAAGCAGCTATATCCAGCCTAGGATGTCAGTTCTTGCCACTTAAACGTTCAAAACTGTATTGGAGTTTCTAGCTAGGACATGTAGACAGATGTCTGCTGGGGTCATGGCTCAAGTGGTAGAGTGCCTGCCTAACAAGTGCAAGCCTGAGTTCAAACCCTACACCGCTAAAAAAAGAAAAAGAAAATAAAAGACATCCAGATTGGAAGGAAAAAGTAAAACTATTTCTTTTTGCAGGTGACAGGTCAGAGAAAATTCTGAAGAATCCCCTCCCCTCAAAAACCTATTAGAATTAATAAATAATGAATTCATCAAGAGTTGTAGGGTACAAGATCAATATACAAAAGGCAATTTTATTGTTATACATTTACAATGAATAATCCAAAAATGAAAATAAGAAAACAAAGGAATAAAAAAGAAAACAATTCCATTTAAACTGTTAACAAAAAGAATAAAATATTTGGAAATAAAATTAACAAAAAACTTGGAGAAAAGTTTTACAAAATATCGTCAAAGACGACACTTTTAAAAACCTACATAAATAGAAAGACATGCCATGGCATGGATTGACAGACTTGAAATTGTTAAAATGGCAATACTTGCTGAGCTCCTGGTGGCTCACGTCACACTACTTGGAAGGTTGAGATTGGGAGGATCAGAGTTTGAGGCCAGCCCAGGCAAATAGTTTGAGAGACTCCATCTCCAAAAAATTACCAGAGCAAAATGGACTGGAGGTGTAACTCAAGTGGTAGAGTGCCTGCTTTGCAAGTGCAAAGCCCTGAGTTCAAACCTAGTCCCACCAAAAAAACACAATAAAAATCTTAGCCGACTTCTTTGCAGAAAGTGATCCTAAGATCTATAATGAAACTTAAGGGGCCCAGGATAGCCAAAAGAAGAATGAAGTTGGAATACTTTCTGTTCCTGATTTCAAAATTTGGCATATGAGGAATTAAAATTAATTAAAATTAATGATCACAATCAAATTCAGAACACTTTTATCACTCCATAAAGAAAACCTATGGGTTTTTTTTCCCAGTATGTCTCATAGACCTCTGTGCTTTCTTTATGACCACAGTGTGCTGCAGAAATAAGTTACTAAGACAGCATGCCACTGGCATGATAGATATATAGATCAGTGGAATAGAGAGTTCAGAAATAAATCCTCAAATTTAGTTGATTGATTTTTGTTTTATTTCGATTTTTTCAAACTGGCCTCATACTTGTGATCTTCCTGCCTTAGACCCCAAGGATGTTTTTCTTTTTCAGAGGAGGTTTTACTTTGTTGCACAGGTTGGCCTCAAACTTGTGATCCTCTAGCCTTAGCTTCCTTAGTAGCTGGGTTTACAGGTGTATGCTACTATGCTTGAGTAGTTGATTTATTTTTTTTTCCCCTTTTGGTTCAAGAGTTTGAACTCAGTGCTTTGCACCCGAGAGGCAGGCCCTCTACCACTTGCCACTTGAACTATGCCTCCAGCCCTGGTTTTTTTGTTTGTTTGTTTGTTTTTTGTGGTATTGAGGTTTGAGCTCAGGGCTTACACCTTAAGCCACTCCACCAGCCCTCTTTTGTGATGAGTGTTTTCAAGATAGGTTCTCATGAATTATTTGCCTGGGCTGGCTTTGAACCACGATCCTGCTGATCTCTAACTAGGAATATAGGTGTGAGCCATCAGCACCTGGCTTCCAGCCCTGGTTTTTGATAAGTTTCAAGATAATTCAATGGGGAAAAGAATCATCCTTTCAACAAATAGTGCTAGAACAGCTGGTTATCCACATGTGAAAAAAAGTTATTCCTTATCTCACACCATATACAAAATTTTACTCACAATGTATCAAGGACCTAAATGTAAAAATTAAAACTATAAACACTGAGAAGAAAAGATAAGGTTAATTCTTCATGACTTTGGATTAGGTAGTGGTTTCTTTAAACAAAAGTAAAAACAACAAAAGG